AAAAATTACTAGATATGAGACCTAGGAGTCTTTATTTTACAACATCCGCTGAGTGGTTCAAAGATACTGCCCTTTTTTATACATGCTTTATGACTGGGCCACACTTTGGGTTCCTTGGATGCATTTTCTTCATGCATCTAGCCATACTACTACATAACCCTGGGTGCTACATTGGAACACTTCTGACAATGGAGCAAAACTAAAGCAAACTGTTCCCTTAACATATAATATGCCTTCACTTCCAAGTTTATTATATGCATATGCTAAGGGATCCAGGGCTGTTCTCAATTACAGATCTTCACTAAAATACCAGCTTAGGTATATATTTAATTTAATGAAGGATACTGAAAAGATATGAAACATGCTTTACTGAAATGCAAACATTAATCTTTATCTAACCAACAAAGAAACTTCTCAGATTTTAATACTACCATCCAAACTGAAGCAGGCCCAAATTTTCCTAAGCAAAGTGTTTTATAACAATAGGACAGAATGACGAAAGCTCGAGTAAGATTGCTATTTCAACATTTTTCTGACATTAACATTTTCTCAAAATGCAATGCTTATTCCAAGTTTTACTACAATGTAAACTCTTTTCACAAATACTAATAATTTTCTTAATCATACAATAACTGAAGCAATCTAATATGAAAACTATCACAAGACGATCATAAAATTCTATTTCTGGATAAGCTGTTATGCATCCAAAAGCTACAAAACATGATAGAAAAATTTAACTTAGTAAATACTACTTGGAAAATGATCAAATATATTCAACACTGATAAAAATAAACCTAAAAGTAGTAAGGCACCATTAAAATGTATATATATATATGCTTTAGGTAGTCAAAAGCATAATATTCTGCAAGAATAAAAAACATGTTTAATTTATAATTACAAGAGCAATGATCAAAGCTTGACTTGCTAAAGACAATGAAGTTATTAAATAATGCCAAGTTACAAGTGACAAGGTGCTGACTTATATCCTTAAATCTGAAAAACATACTCCCATGTATAAGTCCCTGACTTACGAATGTCTGAGTTGCAGACTTTCACAGATGTACTGTATAAGACTCACTTTATCCAATAAGAATGAATCTGACACACGAACATTCTCCCAGAACGGAACTCATTCATAAGCCGGGGACTTCCTGTATATCATAAAATCAAGTAGAAGGACGATAAAAAAAAAGTATGACCAGACTTGACAAGTGTTTTCCCTCATCCTTTGTTGCACTGAAGAACAATGTTACTCAGATAAAAAATGTAATGATTTTGTAATTCATAGGCCATATGCTTAGTTGTACTGGAATGCATCTAACAAAGATAAGAAAGAAACAAGAGATTATATGTAAAAACTAACGAAGAAACGCTACTATTATTACTTGGACAAACTGAACACTTACCATTTGATTCCTCACTTTACACTGAACAGTGAAAAAAGAGAAAGCACATAAGAGGGCCTAATTTCAAACCTTTAAAACAAACAGACAAGGATTACAATTTTTTTCAGTGTTGTCAAAGTAAAGGCAGACTAGGCGAACCAATTAGCTTAACATACTTCTATGACACAAAATAGCAGAAACACCTGAAGAGCTCTTCTTAGTATTTCCTTGAATTTATGACTAGCTTTTATTAAAATGAATTGTTATGAGGCTAGAACTAAACAAAACTGACACCAGAACAACCACTGTCTCTTCACATAATTTCAATCAACACTAAATAAACTAAAATTAGAACAGATATTTCCCCAAAATATTTAATTCCACTGTTACAGAAATTAACATAGGTTAGTTATATACTACTTGAAGTATGGTCACTACTCAGAAAATTCAGAGCACAATAGATTCCATGGCAAGCTAACATAAATGATAATATATATACCAAGCCCTCCATTATACCCAAGAGTTCCAAGGACATTTTCTCTAATGGAATACAAAATAGAGCTATTTTGTGTCAAAAAGTCTGTCAACTTTTTCATTTGAGGGAGATAAGAGAAACAACATATGATCAAGCTGACATGGAAGTCCTGGACTTAAGCCTAATCTCAGCTCCTTTTTCTTTCTTTTTTTGGTGGTACTGGGGATTGAACTCAAGACCCTCAGCTTGCCAGTAGCTGGGATACTGGTGCCACAATCATTACACTAAGCTTCCTTCCTATAAACGCCTGAAAAAATTAAACAGCACTGTTATACTGGTACTGGGGTACTGTGCAAATGGGCCGTGACACAAAGCTACCGATTGCTGACCTTTGCTCTAGCCAAATTAGTTTCATTTATGATGCTTCAAGTATACAAAACATATTTCTATAATCCACTGAAAGTAAAGTATCTTCACATTTAAATGTATTATCATCATCTAATTCTTTAGTAAGAGCATAATCTTCTACAAAAATAGTCTATTTTAGACATGCCCAGAAACCAAGCATGAATATTCTTATATAATTTATCTATTCTTAATATTCTTTAGATACCTGTGAAATATTACCAACAAAATTAATTTTAAATACTAAATGTTAATTAATATAAGACCTTGTAGGGCCGGCCAAATAGCTCAGCAGATTAAAATGCCTGCAAGCAGGGGCCAGGGGATCAATCCCTAAGCCGTCACCACCCCTGGGGGTGTGGTGGCACGCCCCTGTAATCCCAGCAGTTGGGAGGCTGTAAACATGTGGATCACTATGATTCCAATATAGTAGTGAGACCCTGAACACCCAGTAGACCCTTCCCTAAAATTAAAAAAAAAAAAAAAAAAAAAAAAAATTCAACAACGCAATTTTAAAATACAGGTTTTCTAGACACTTTAAAATTAAAACTGTCTGATATTAATTGTATGTATACTAAATGATATTTATACATAAAACTGGTTTTAGGGTTTAATTGTAAATTATTCCAAAAATTTCATTCTACAGCTGAATTTATGATATACAATGTAATCAAGTTTAGCAGGACACACTTTAATCATCTTTGTCTACTCCCCTAAAGTGACCACTCATACATTACAAATACCTACCTATACATTTACTCCAAAATGTAAAACTCACACCAGAAAAATATTAATTCCATCAATACCAGCAAGACTTTTAACAAATACCAGAGTAAATATAAGGAGGCACAATTTTCTAATCTTCAAAGGGAGACTCTTATCACTGATGGTTTACAAAGGATTTTATTAAAAGATTAAAACACAAGTATCTGCTAGTGGGCCTAAATAATTTTAGTAATCCATCTTATTTTATCCCATATTCTCACACTGGTAAATCCAATAGAATAATGTACAAATACATCCACCAAAACAAAAACACCAAACCAAAAAAAAAAAAAAAAAAAACAACCCAACCTCAAGCTATGGCCTAAAAAACGGGCTAAATTTCAGGAAGAATAAAAGAAGTGCAAACTAATGCTAGGAATTAAGTCATTACACTTTACAATGCTGAAAAGCCATAATTAATTTGATAATGGAATTTAAAAATAAATCTTATAAAACACAAAAAGATGATTATTGCTATTATTACTATTACTATTTTTTTAAAGACAAGGTCCCACTCTGTATTATAGGTTGGCCTTTAGCTCACTATGAGAGTGGCCTCAAACTTGTGATGCTCTTCCTATCTCAGTCACCCAACGGCTGGGACTACAGGCATGTACTTTCATGCCTGGTATGAAAAGTTGTTCAAATTAAGTTTACATGCCAAGCAATTTTCATTCAACAGATAATTACTTGACAGAAAATATTTATTTCTTGTTATGTAAGTTAGGATTCATTTTACATTAAGCACTCTTCTCCCTAAACTGGAAATTGAATGTAGAGTCTTTATACTGAATTTCATCCACAACCCTTTATTTTTTTGGACAAGGTCTCACTAAGTCATTAATTTGCCCAGCCTGGTCTTCAATTTGTGATCCTCCTGCCCCAATCTCCCAGAATGCTGCAGTGACAGGTGCACCACACCACACCCAGCTATGTAAGTACTCTTTCGCTTAAACAAAAGTTTTGAAATTGCCTAGGGAAAAGAAAATGGGGACAGAGAAAGTCAGAGAAAAAAAGAATTAATAATGTGAAACAGTACTGATAAGCAAGATAATACTGGATATTTTTCAAGGCCAATATTCATCAGATATCATTAATGTATATATTATCTAGGATGTGAGACACTGTACAACATAAAGCTTCATCTTCAAAAAATATTAGCAAACAATTTTAAAATGAGAAGAAAATTACACACTAAAATTGGATACATCAAAAAATAATAAAAATATTTGACTTACACAAAGCTAGACTTTGATAAAAGAACAATTTTTAATACATGATAAAAGTTATTAAGAGAATTCATCTTACAGAAATACATACTGAAAATAGTTATGAACTGTACTGTTTGATGTGAAGTACTCATATAAAATAGTATGGGAAACAAAACAGGTACAAACATAAGCCTTGTTTTTAAAACTGTTTCGGGTTAAAGATGAGCATATACTAGTCTCCTTCTGCACATATCCAAAATAAATCCTTGTTCAATCAGTACATGGTTAAAAATCAATCCAGATAAAATACCTGTATCAATTTGCAATTTATCATTTTTAAAAGTACCAGTTAAAATGGAATATAAATATATTTCATGAAACATGAATACTGCATTCAAAAAATAATTTTATTGCCTGCAAAAGAAAAACAGCAGATTAAAAGTCATAGTCAGAAAGATTAAAAAATACATTATCAGGTAAACCAAAGTTTAAAAACTTCCAAATACACATCACCCACCTGACAATACAAAAATCATGTTGGTTAATTAGTAACTTACTTACATTTTCCATATAGTTTGGTTTAAAGCCTTCTTGTTGTCGCCTCAGTTCCTCTTGTTCTCTGTGTCTGATCATTTCTTCTTCACGACGACGGTGTTCCTCTTCATGTCTGAAAATGTTTTTTTTAAATGTCATTAATATAGTATGAGAGCCATAAAGAAATACTGTATTTTGTGTAATACAAAGGAATGGATACACAATACAATATGGTAAATCTGTGAATGACTGTGGCATCCTAAATTTACATTCTTTTTTCTACTCTAACCTAAGCCTCTAATAAACTAAGAAATGAAATAACAAGGATAAACTGAAACACAAAGTTACATCAAGAAAGTATATTTATATACTGTCACTTGAAAAATTTAGATTCCAAAAAGCTCTCATACTATAAAAACAAACATCTGGGATCTATCAGTGCCACAGCAGGGTTTTTAAAAATTATTCAGCTGAGCAGATAACTGAATAGAACAAGCGCTTACATGGCAAGCACAAGGTCCTGCGTTCAACGCCCTGTACCACCAAAAAAAAAAAAAAAAAAAAATTCTTCAAATCAAATCCAGAAATAAGCCACCTTAAAGAACCACACAGCAGCTGAGTGCAATGGCACACACTTCTAATCCCAGCATTCAGGAGACTAAGGCAGAAGTATCACAGCTGAGGACATCCTGGGCTCCAAAGTGAGTACAAGGGCAGCCTGAATCACATAGAAAGATCCTGTCTTTAAAAAAAAAACAAAAACAAAAACAGAAGCAAAATGAACTATACAGCCTAGACACAAATTCTCTTATGTGCAGAATAAAGAAGACTCCTGAGCTTCTTTCTGCCCTATGTTATCACCCTACTGAAAAAAATCCCTTGGCATTGTCTACCAAGAACTTCTTCAGGTAAATTACGTTTCCCAGGATAACAATTTACTGGCAATAGCTACTCAAGGGCTGCAGTAGTTAAGATAAAGATCATAAGACCTATGTGGCATAAAATATTTGCCATCTTCTCCCTTTCCAGAAAAAGTCTGCCAGCTGATTTCTTAATGTAAACAAATCTTTCAGCAAAAATCCTGTGTCTAGATTCTATTATATTCCTAAATGACAGTATGATCAAGAAAAAACCTACATAACAAAATTGAAGACACAAAATATAGGCATTAAATCAATAGAAATTCAAATATATCTGCATTATAAATACAAATAAACTATAATGATAATTTCAATACTAAAAGCTATATAAAACCCATACAGCTTCTGCAGGTCTCATGTTCAGATTACACTTACAAACACCTTTCTACATTCAGAATTAAGTATAATCCTCAAATTCAAAGATAAAGTGTTATTGTTGTTTTGTTTTTTTGTTCCACAACACTACTGCCAATACAAGTCCCGGAACCAAATGAGTGATTTCTTACACTCACAGAAGAAAATATAAAATATTCCTGGATTTCAGGTAAACTGGACAATTTTAGACTGCTATTTAACTCTCCATAATGTAAATAATATTAATTTATACAAATATTCTGAATTTCTGGTACATGATTTCATCCATTTCATATGCACCAATACATAAGTTGTTGCTGGTAGTTTTTTGGGGGTTTTGGGGTTTTTTTGGGGGGGGGAACTGAATTCAGAAACTTACACTTGACAGACAAGCACTTCAAATAATGAGCTATAATCCTGACCCCAATAAGTTTTACTGATTAGAAAATATAGGGACTGGGGAGATGGCTCAGTAGAATAAGCGCTTCCCTGGCAAGCACAAGGGCCCGAGTTCAATCCCTGGGTCTGCAAAAAAAAAAAAAAAAAAAAAAAACTTTTATCAGATCCTAATAGGCTGGGCAATTGCTACAAATTTGAGGCCCACCTGGGCTACACAGTGAATTCAAGGCCAGCCTGAACTGATATAGTAAGACCTTCCTTAAAAAAGTAAAATACTCCAATGTTAAATGTTTTAAAATTAACTTTAATTTCCAAAAACCGAACAAAAAAGGAAAGAGTGTTAGTATTTATGTTCCCAGTGATATATACATTAGTGTTCCTTAAGTAACCATATTAATAATTATATTTTGGGTACCAGGAATCAAACTCAGGACCTCATGCTTTGGCAGGCAGGGAATGTACCATGCACTAAATCTCCAACACCTCAATATTTCTACATCCACCATTAAAAACTTTCCAAACCCAAGAAAAAGAAATCTATTTCCAAGGAAGAGTTGATTAGTAGTGACCTGGAAGACACAGCTGGTGGTAGCCCAAGTCCACCCAAAAAGAAGAAGAAATCTTCACCCAAGGAGGAAACAGGTAGTGAACCAGAAGAGGCAGCCAGAAGTGTCCCCAAGAAAAGAAAATTTTCTTCCAAGGAAGAGCGAGTCAGTAGTGGGCCTGAGGAGGCTGCTGCCAGCAAGGGCAGTTATCAAGAAAAAAAAAAAAGAAAAAGCTTCAAAAGAACATCCCAGGAGGATTAGAATGGACACTCCCTGGGAGCAGGAGTGGGGAATGCCCCAAGGTGATATTTCCCATCCCATGTCCTAAATCTGTCAATAAAAACAAATCCACAAAATCAGTGTTAAAAACAAAACAAACAAACAAACAAAAAAAAATACTTATCAGATCCTGATACATGAAAATAAAAAAATGTAATGATACATTTTTGTTTAAAGAAACCCTTTGTGGGCTGGTGAGATGGCTCAGTGGTCTAAAGCACCTACTTAGAATAAGCTTAGCAAAGCAAAGGGACCACGGTTCAATCCCCAGCACCACATGCCAGCCAGCCCACCCCCTGGTGGGCTGAGCTGGCCACACACACACACAAATAAATAAATTTAAAAAAAGAAAAAAGAAACCCTTTGTTTCCAAATCATTTGTCTTCAAATTTGCAGACAGAATATGAACTTCTGAGAGACCAGCATTTTTTTTTCTTTTTTTTGGCCAGCTCAGCCCACCCTGGGGGCAGAGCTGGCACGGCATGTGGTGCCAGGGAACAAACCGGGATTCCTACACCAGTGTCCCTGTGTGCTTTCCTAAGCTTGCCTGTGCAGACACTTTAGACTGTTGAGCTATCTGGCTGGCCCTTGACCAACATTTAACACACTTTTAAATGTGCAAACTCACTTCCAGTAAACTGAACAAAAATATATGTTCAACTGTCCAATGATAGATACAGAGGCAAGGAAATATGTACACAGATACATATGGTGGTAACATTTATAAATACATAAACAGACAATTAATGTTCACAAGTTCCAAGTAAAGCAACTATTACAAAGAAATAGATACACATCTCCTGGCATGAAAGAATGTCTACACTGCTGTTGCCAAGAAAAAGGCAAACAAAGGGCTGGCTAAATAGCATGGCAGATTAAAGCATCTGCAAGCAGGTGCAGGGGCCAGAGGTTTCATCCCTGGGCCTGCCTTGCCAGCTCCGCCCCCAGGACGCACTGAGACAGTGACTGAGACTGGGTTTGTTGGCATGTGCACCTGTAATTCCAGCACTTGGGTGGCTATAAACACGAGAATCACTATGAGTCCTCTGTAGTAGTGAGACCCTGAATACCCTGTAGGTCCTTCCGTAAAATACAGGGGGAAAAAAAGAAAGAAAAAATGACAGGGTTCTTATTGCTTTTATCATTTGTGTTGGGTGTGGTGGCACATGTGTAGCCCTAGCTATATCAGAGGTAGGAGGGTTACTTACCTCTACAAAGTATGCCTGGCTGAGATTAGAATGTGTGCTGCTTCAAAATAAAAGCTACATATGTCTACACATTCAGTAAAAAGTCTATACGGTATTTAGTAGGGCATCTGTTGTAGTTTGGAGTTCATCTGATGTCTCCCTCCGGATTGGACCATGTGTGTAGGGAGGGAGACCACAGAACATTCCCTTTATCATCTCCTGCCAAAGGCACACACTAGAACCAACAAAACTTGACCCTCATGAGGCAGGGCCTGACCTGTCTCTCTGCCATGAAGTTGTCATTTCCCACCTTTTCACATTCTGCTTTGGAACAAAGTTACTCCACTCACACCACACTTAAGGGGAAAGGAGAGAGGCTCCACTTCCCTGGAGCTGGAGTATCTACAACATCATGTTATTTTTCTATTCAAGGGGCATTCTTTCACCCACTAAGTTTTGAGTCAATGAGTTTTTACACCAATAAGGACTCATGAACATTTATTTTATACTTGGAGCATAATACACTAATATCTTCATTACATTGTTGTTTTTGCTGAAATCTTCCACTGGCAAACTGGCCATTGAATGCTCTTTCATTTGACACATTTCACTTTTGAAATCTGTGCCTGCTTCTTCTTCTCTGCCTGGCACTGTAAGATACTCTAGGCTCATCCTGCATACTCCCAGTCCTAGAATTAGCTGTTTTTGCAGTGCTCCTGCATTGGAGAACCACTGCACTTTGTTTTTCTCTGTCTTCTCACTTGACTGTAGACACCTTGCTGAGAGGGACCCAGCCTATAATTTCCAACATAAGGTACTCTAGGGTCACAACAGGAATTTCCTGAAGGAATGAACTGAAGTGTTTGTTTACTCGATTAATTGTAAACCTTAAGAGAACCATCTGCCTGGAAAAAATGAGGAAAAAAAAATCGTTCCACCATGTTTTTCAGTCAGTTGCACGCTTTCTACTCAACAGAATGAAAAGGCGGCGACCTGGCGCGGCAGTCTCGGCGCCAGGCCACGGAACGCGAGGTCGCCGGTTCGTGCCCCCCTCCCGACTCTTTCTTTGGGGCTGGTGAGATGGCTCAGTGGTCTAAAGCACCTACTTGGAACAAGCTTGGCAAAGCACAGGGCCCGCGGTTCAATCCCCCAGCACCACATGCCAGCCAGCCGCGCCCCCTGGTGGGCTGAGCTGGCCACACACACACACAAAATAGTAATAATAAATGTTCAGAATGAAAGCTAGTGAGAAAGCACGGATTACTACGCGGCCTCTCAAAATGCTTAGGCCAACAGGGACGTGTGACTATCAAAGGGAAATGGAGTGCCAAACACACAGGTCCCCACCCTACCAGAGATCGGAGGTGTCCTCAGTGACAGACAGCATTTAGCATCATGCTTTTCTGCAGCTTGTGCTAAGAAATCAAGGCATGAATGAAAGAGGGTGTGCTTAGCCACAATGTTTCCACAATGGTTTTTCGCTGGAGGACAACTGTCTAGCTGG